ATTGTTTGCAGCATAGATTAGCTGATCGTTCCTAAGTAGAGTTCAGATCTATTCAGAATAATTAAACAAGGCTTCACGCTTCCCTCTATGAGGTTGCTGATGGAGAACACGAGGGACCTCTCCCTCTCCCACCCCAACACACGCATACAGAGTGCAGGCCTATACCACAACCAATAGCTATGGTTGTGACTGATCATAATGTCATTTAAGTTCTAAAACAAGGCAGTATAAAAGTCGCACTGTTCACAGCTTTGAGTACTGTTCTCTTTGATTAAGGAAAAAACCCAAACAAAGCAGATTTAAGTGCAAAAGGAAAACATCACACAAGGTGAAATTTTAGGGCAGGTCTGACCACAAATTAAGAAAAAGACCCACAACAAAAGAGAAATAAAGTTGTAAATAAAAAGAAGATAAGGTCCTTGACTACACACCACTAGGATGACTGAATATTATTAGGTATTTTACTTTTCTTGACGACAAGGGTTTTCATTCAACAGTTACAAGTTTTGCTGCATGGAGATTAAGCCTTGCCCAGTGTTGTTTCAGAAGGGAGGGGGGGGTGGAGGGAAACAACAAAAGTATCCAGAATCACTGCAATATGTCTGGTGAAAAATACCAAACTGCTAGAATTAAGGAAGACATTGTAAAGCATGACAACAAAAGGAACCATTTCTAGTCTAATCAGACCATTAAATTTGCATTAAATGTCCTTAGCCGTACATTTGCTGAAACCAGAAAGGCACTTGACTAATGCAAAGCTGGCTAACTTTCTTGACCTCATCATCTAAATACCTTATCTGGCTAAGAGCCGCAAGATGAGACGGTCCAGAAATTATTCTTGGACAGAAGATCTAGACAACTTCTGTGGGGTCTCACCACATCAGTATAAGGCTGGGCTTGGCTAAATATGTAACCAGCTCCAAGTCAAACTAGTGACAAAGGTTGTTAACAGTCTGTAGTAGGTAACTGTATCCAATAACCAGAAATTAGATTACATGGAACACTTCATGCAAGCATTATCCCATGCAACCCAGCTGCACAGTTCCCCTGGTGGGCAAGTCACACATCAGCTGTTCCAAATACATATTCCATCTAAGTGCCATAGGTTGGCCATTCTTTTAAGCCTGTCTCTTTCTGGAAAGAGAAGAAAACACAAAGAAAGAAAATTCACTGCTTCCTTTACTCAATCACACCGTAATAATAATAATAATAACAACAATAATAAAAGCATAATTTTTAAATATTAGTTGGTCTGCCTCCAGTTTCCCATTACTTTTTCTCCCCACCCCTCTGGATTGGAGAGCCTATTTTAGTAGTCATTTTTGCTTTCTGAAGGAACATATTCAATGGAATTACTGCTTTATACTAATTCTTCCTTTTAAAACTCAAGACTGGGCTACATAAGCAAAACCAGCCTGCAGATAAAAAAAAATGATTATTCCACTCTGCTTGGCACCTGTGAAGCTACATCTGAAGCATGCCACTTTTGGGACCCCAAATGCGAAAGAGATATTGGTAAGCAGGTCCAGTGGAGGACCACCTTGAGGGCTGGAGAACATGACAGATGAGGCGAGACTAGGGAGCTGAATTTGTGTAGCATGAAGAATAGATAGCTAAGTGAGGAGAACAAATTGCTCTCTTCAACAACCTAATTGGCTTTCATAGAGAAGACAAAGCCACGCTGTTTTCAGAGATGCAGAGCACACTGACAAGAGGAAATACATAAAGCTTGCACCAAGAGAAATTCCAAATAGATACAGAGAACAGTTCTTCACCACAAGGGTGGTCAAACACTGAAACAACTTGTCCAGAGCAGTTGTGGAATCTCCACCCTTGCCAATTTTCAGACCTCACCTTGACAAACCCTGGAGCAACCTGGTCTAATTTTGAAGTTACCCTCCTTTGAAGATGTCAGACTAGATGACCTCCAGAGGACCCTTCCAACCTAAATTATCAGTTTAACTTTTAAATTATTTTACAATTTTGTGTTCTTGAGGCAGAGTGATTTTTGTGCCTTTTCCCCAGACCCTTCCTAATTTTTCAACATTGCAAAAAAACCCACCCCAAAACCATATGGACAACAGGACTGTAACCTGTATTGATGCAGAATTCACATCATTAATATAACCAAGACAGATTAATAAAGTGTACGACTTCCTTACTCTTTCTCTGTATTCAACAGAATTTCAGCCCCTCTACATAACTTTCTATTTGGGACTGTAGCTCACTTTTTTCTCTATGATGCCTACTTAATTCCAGGGTAGGGTTTCCTATTAAGCAGGTATGTCCTATAATGGAAGGTTTCTAAAAGTACAACTTCAGATTTTGCTATGCAATAGTAGACTGTTTGAGTGGGTCCCACTAAGCAAATCATCCAGATGACTCTGCAAGAGTCGATCTTTCTATCCTCTACAAGTTAACAGAAGTAACTGCTTTACAATACCAATCATAAAGAAACTTTACTTGGGGCATGCTTCCTACTCCTCTCCCCTTCAAAAGCTTTAGAAAGCTTTTTAATCAATGTAATGTTTTATTGGGCGGGGGGGGGGGGGAGGTTTTTTTTTTTTTAAAAAAAAAATGTATTAATGGGGAAGTTATTTGTTCTTTAAGAAAAAGACTGTATCAAGGCATAATTGTATTATACATATTGGATATTTACACTAAGGAACCTCGTTCTAAAACAAAATTACATTAGAATTTTTTTAAAATAAAGTTTTATTTCCATTAAACCACCTCAGCATTAATTCTAATAATATTCTTTTACATTTACTGAATCCCTCCATTATTTTTCCCCAGGATTGACGTGAGGCTAAATAGTTATTTAGGTCATCCTGTTTGACCTTTTTAAACAAAACGTCTTCAAGGTCTTCTGGAATTTCCATTGTATTTTAAGTTATTGGGAGGGACACCTCAGAAAAGAAATATTCTCAGCCAGTTCTTTTAGAACTCCTGGGTGCAGATTACAAAGACTTGCTTATAGGCTTTGTTAAGAGATGTCTATCATGGACTCTCAGAATCTTCCTTGTAACTTCTAGATTTTAAGTACTTAAGTCACCTGTGAGACATTATAATGTAATTTCACTTCTCTCTAACCCCCCCCCAAATATTTATTGTAATCTTCTGCCTTTTCTCTTTCACTATGAATCACATTAACCATTGTCACCTACATTACTGTTAGAATTATTTCTTAATTTTTAACAATCTCACCTTTGTTATCCTTTGCCTTACTAGTCAAGGTTTTTTCTCAGGAACATTTTGTTTCTTTTAATCAGTTTTCTACATTTTTCACGCCCCACTCAATGCCATTTCTCCTCTACCATCCTTGCACTTACACTTTACAGAAAAGGAGGGAGGGGCCCTGAATTTCCTCCTTCACACTGTAATGAAAGCAAGACTGATTTTAACAGAATTTGCCCTTTATGGACAACCTTTATAGTTGTTAACTGCACTTTCTAATGTAATTTATTTGGGGAAGTCTACCATATACCTATTTACATAATTTCTCACACGCACACACACATTCCCACACACCATTTTTGTACTTTAGTCTGGACATGCATATAACCAGACTTCTAAATGACAAACAAAATTGTGTCCCATATCAAATCTTGTTATCACTAAAAAAAAAAAGTTATCAAAGGTTTCAAAGTAAATGATACACATACCAAAAAAAAGACCTATTTGGCCCAAGTTGTTGGTATGCAGCATTTTACTCTGCTGTATCAACGTAGAAGTATACCTTTCTCTATTATAATTAAATTCCCCCCTCCTCAATATCAACCTGTTAGAGTTCTCTTTCCTAGTATACTTACATCTTCTCTATTGGTCTTAATTCACAGTCCATTTCACAATGGCTCCAATACTTTTAGTCCCTATCACTGCCATTTTAAGCTCAAAAAAAATCTGCCTACCTACTTTGCCCTTCTACCTTTTTATTTTCTTCAATTAATCTCATTTTTCCTTCAGCTGAACCAGGCCCGTCCACTGCCAGTTCCACATCCCTATCTTAAGCTGCTGTCTATGTTTAAGTGACCATGTTTTCCTTGGCCTGTTCATGCATCTCCAATTATCTCTTTTCTCTAGCACAGAGACTTCCCAGATCCAGCCATTTTCTTTTACCATCTCCCCTTTCCAGTCTCCCACCCTGTCACAACTTTTTTGACTTGTAAAATAGAAACGCAGATACATTCATGCAGAACTAGCACATCTGCCCCATGCAGTCATTTCATGCACTACATGCATAACCACAATACAGTATATTATGTAATTAGCAATACTGTAATTTTGTTAAAATTTGCTGCTCTAAGGCAAGCTAGCTTATTGTCTTCTGAGGGAGGAGATCAGATAAATAGCACATTCTGATCTGCTTCCCTATTTACAAATACACCTGTTTAAAGTTTATATAAATGCACTTGAGAATGTGCATTTATACTGAAAGATACATGGACAACAGTTCAGTGTCCAATACTTTTAACAGCTTTGCTATCTCAAAAAGAAGATAATTCAGACTACAACCAGGTAATGAAGTTTCTTCATAATACCATGAAGCCAAAATCCCACCACTGGTGGATTCAACCTTCTTAATTCTGCACCCTTTTCAGGAGTAAGCTCACAGCATTGCTAAGCCTCCATGTGCATCAACTGGTGTCACTATAGAGACAAAAATAACACAGTAGCAAAACAGTAGAGGTTTGAAGAAACAAAACCAGTAACATTAGGAGCAAAAACTATATACTCAAATTTCTAACATTTTTTTAAAGTCTTCAGTTTTACCTTAAGTAAACATTTTACAATAATTGCTAGTTAACACTCCCCGTAACAACAGCAACCCAAAAATAATTACAGCAAGAACAAATGACTTCCGGGCTTCCCAGAAAACGCCTCTTATATTTAAATTTAATTTCTGGCATTATGCCAAAGTGGGGGATGGGCACCTAAGTGGAAAAATAACTTCAAAGGCCTCTAAAACATTAATGCAGAAAACGAGTTGCTTCTCTTACCTGGCGAGAAGGTGGCATGTGCAAAATGAGATTCCTCCTCTGAGCAAGCCACTGACGCGTAGCTCATTTGCATAAGTACCACGAGCTACAAGTAGACTTCCAGGTCGGCCATCTTGATACTAAGATCTTGTTTTGTTTACGTAGCAGCATGAGTGCTATTTTTTAGCCAGCCTGAGCTATGCTGTTGCACCTCTCAGCTAGTAGCCTACATCTGCTTGTTAAAGCCTGCTGGAACTCCCACTTCTCCACACAAGTGGCTAAACATGTCAGGAGTGCCCCTGCAGCTCACTGAGCATGCCACAGCCTCCAAGGGAACGTTGCAACTGCAACTGCCTCCAGTCGGACTCTTTGTACTGCCTTCTGTGCTGCCAACTATTAGCACTGCAGCAACTATGTGCAGTGAAGTACCTCCCACATACCACACAGTAGTACCAACAAGCATAAATTTATTACAGCACAGTGCAAGACAACACACTAAAAAAAAAAAGCTGCTGAAATTTCCTCAGTATTTTCACTTACTAGCAATCTAATTACACATAGGTTCCTTTGTACATCTTTTCACATTCCTCAGTGTGGCTCTTTCGGTCCAGAAACCAGCGTGCTCCTGCAATCCCTGCACAGGAGAAGTCCATGACACATGTTAGTTGCTGCCGACACGGAGCCAGACTGCAGTTACAGCTAGCTGGCGCCAGTAAAAATTTACATAAAGGGGGCCTCATTTCAAGGCTAAATTGCAGCAGGATATTGCTGAGCAAAGCCTCCCCCCGCCCCCGCGAGACTACTACGGGTTCTAGAATATATCGTCTAGTTATTTGCTTACTAATAATCCAGACCCATGTCAAAAGTCAAGTGCTGCTCTTACTGTTTATATAAACAAAAACTGACAGTAGCCTCTGCAAAAGAAATTCCACCTTGAAGCCTGTTCCTAGTAGGAATGCTACACACTGCATTGTTCACAGCGATTCTGGTGAGCGCTCTGTAGTAATTGAAATAACACCGAATAAATGGGTATGCTCAATGCTCAGCAACCAGCTTTTCTTAAACTCATACTTCCAGTATTTTGCAACCTACCAATAACAAATGAAGTAAGTTATCAGCTCCAACTAGGACAGACCCATTTTTAACCTAATGCTGACACGTAACGTGTCTCGCTATTTAATTTACTGTTTCCACTTCACATTTAATTTTTCTTCACTAGGGAGATGAAGAAAAAAAATCCCGCATCCGGAACTGTGGACTTTATCAAGTACCTAAAAGGTACAGGGACAGGTAGAGGCAGAAGCTTCGATTTCAGCCTCACTCTGACTTCAAATAGTTAATTTCTTAATTCTTACTTTTTTCCTTCCAGTCAAAATCCAATTATAATCAATAAATGAATTATATTTTACAAATGCTTATTCTAAAAGTTACTGTATTTTTTCGGAGGGAAAAAAAAGAAGCCAGGCTTTGCTTACTATTAAGTGTGCATATGTGAAGGATGAATCATCCGCCAATACCTTTTTCCTCTCATTTGCTGCCTTGTAACAAACTCTTAAGAGCATGAAACAACTCAATGCAAATAAACATACTATTTATTATACCATAAACATGACTTTGTGAAACCCTAAACAAAATGAAGTTAAACCCACAGTAATGTTTGTCTAGCTACACTGCTGTAGTTGCAGCCTGGCACCATTTAGCGCAAAAAGGAAAGTGATGGAGACAGTGATGCTTGTCGATTCCAGTGGGGCAAAGGCAGAGCCGCCTCAGGACCAGAACAGCCTGCTTTGTGCCACGGGCCTCTTCTAGTTCCCTGCATTGTTCCTCTTTAGAATGCAAACAGCGTCGAGGCTATATATAGTCAAATTACTTTATATGTCCCTTTTTCCACTGTGAGCATAATTTGCTGTATGGCTGGTTCTAGGTTATTTGAGCATAACACAGTTTGCTCATCTGTGATATCAAAAAGCTACCGACTTTGTGCCTGAAATTATTTAGTAATGCAAATTACTCTTCACTGTTTGTTACAATTCATCCTTAGCTGCTGTATCCAAAAGCCTAAAGCAATGTATAAGGGAAAAATAATTATTTTTCCCAGAATGACTGTCACATTAAAGTGACAGCCATTAACTATACAAGTGCTCTGGTATTGCTCTGCTTTTACATCATGTGTATCTTTTGATTTATCTTACTTTCAGACAGATTTGTGTATGTTAGCACATTTAAGCACTGTGCAGAATACATCTTTCAGCGATGCTGTCATTTGCAGAATGAATCACCAGATGAACGGCTTCTGAGCTTAAAAATAAAGGGCACCAATGCTGCTTTAAAAAAAAGCAAACCCTCCCCCCCCTTGTATTTCCCACATACAGCCACTCCCCCGCTCAGCTCTACAGCCTTGTGCACAAATACCAGAATAATAGTACGATTCTCAACACAGTAAAACAGATACTGCAAAATAAGAGCCTTTACTTGGAGCATTTTCTATTCCCGGCTCCAGTCCGCTCAGGGAAGTCCAGGCCAGAGCTTGCCGGCAGCCCCGAGGGCGAGCTCTCCATCTGCCGTCTGGGGGAGGCACCACCCCGCTTCCAGAACATTCCGGCAGTCACCCACACTCCCTCGGCTTTACCTTCCTCTCTGCGCCGCCTTCTCTCTTGCACCACTAGCTATGATAAAGCTGTTTTCAAACGCAAAATCTTTTTATGGAGAGGAGAAGCAATTGGTTTAGTAGTTAGAAACGCACCAACCCGGTTACACAGAGCACAGGGGGCTACCCCCGAACTAGAGGTGACCTGGAGGGCTTGCTAAGCCCCAAACCAACTGCAGCAACGTCTGCCTGTCACAGGGAGAGCGGACCAACCAACCCCGAGAACTAGCACAGGGACCACTTTAGCTGCTTCCAAAACGTGATATTGGGGGGGGGGGGTTTTTGTTTCCATTGTTTGGGTTTTTGGGGGGGGCAGGGGTCGCAGGTTTTTTTTGTCGATTTTTTTTTTAGTGCAAGAGTCTAACCTGGGAGAATAAACAACAGCATACTCAATTATATTCTCCAGTGATTGCCACTACAGAAAAAGCCAAAATGTCTGCCTGCCTTTCCCATGTTTAGCATGCAGTCAGCGGAAACACCTGAGCGCTTTTACGACTTTGCCTTCTCAAAGTCGGTTAACAGGACTCTTCCTCCAACATGCACACAATTTTCTAGTCTCTCATCAGAAGTGACCTTAAAGAGCAGATGTCACAGTCAAAAGTAATAAGGCCAGTTGCATTCGAAATAATTACTATTAGCAGTATGGTTTCAATTGGTACGTATCAAAGACAACATCCTCAAATTTTAAATGTCAGTTGATTCATTTCAGAATAGAAAGGTACAAGAAAGTCTGCTACAGAATGATTTGCCCAATTCAGACACAATTTTAGATATAAAAGCATTTCATTGACAAAGTTTGTCAAAAAAGAAAAAAAACATGATGAAATCTGTTGCTAGTAGCTTGATCTAAAAAACCAAAAAAACAAAAGAAAACCACACAAAAAGGAAGGGGAAAAAAAAAAATCCCACCACAGAGGAAAAGAAAATGAAAGGCCCTGGGCCTTCTGCAGGCAACACACAGTCCAAAACAACCCCTTCCCCTCAGACTTTGCCCTCTTCTCCAAAGCATGAAACAGAACAAATTATTCATGTAAGTCAGCCAGAAGTTTGGTAGTTCCCAAGTTTTTCTCACGTTGGTCTTTGAAAGGCACAGAAAATTATGTTCATTTCTGAAGTAGAGAACTATCAACCCATTGTCTTAGCCAGTGTGATTTATTTCAAGATATTTTACAAGCAGAAGCCTATACCAACAGAAGGAGTACGGAAGGCAGGAAAGGGAAGGGCAGGGGGAGGGCTGACAGTAGTATCCACTTTTCTACTGTAGGCAAGGGGTGAGAAAGTATCTAAAATGGGTAACTTCCAGGCAGCAACAGAGTCTAATGTTGCACTCCCTTTCTTTTAGAACAGGAAAATACTCAGTTTGACTCCTTATCAACTTTAGAAAAAAATATGTTTTGCTCACTGAAATTTACGTGAAGAATTTTGTCATTTATTAAACAAATACTGAAAAGCTGACAGACCTTAACCTGCAAATAAAGATAATGCAGGGAAAAAAAACTAACATTTGCCATACTCATAATTCCTTCGAAGACACTACATTTTAAGAAAAACATAGTGAAGTTTACAGCTAAAAATAACTGTTTAATAATAGTCATAATGTGATTGTTTAAGATTCAAAACAGTTCTAAGTGCTTGGTAACCATTTATTTCTAGTACCTAAAGAACCAAACAAGTCAGCTGTTTGAAAGTGATTTGCATGCATTAAACAGTATTGCGTTAATTCAGCAGTCCATTCCAGTTTGTTTCGAATCCTCTCTGAAATTGTTTGCTCCCAAAATACCTACCAAAATAGAAGATGCAGCTGTGCAAATTGAGACAATTCTGAGTTTTAAGAGGAACATAAAAAATAATCAAGCCATGTTAGAATGGTTCCAAGCAAGTATGATTTAGTAATGAAAAACTATCCAAATAGTTGGAGCACAAATGAAAATAAAGTAGAATTATTTTCTTATAATCAAATATACCATTTGCAAAAAAAAGAATTTTAAAAAAGTGAATCTATAGACTCCTTCAGAGTAAGCTATTGTTGGGTATTTATCTTTGAAAGTCTCATGTATTTGAGACTGTTACCCTATTAGCAATTTATTTACTTCTGAAGGCCTATCCTTCAAGTTTACCTATCGGCAGCACAAAGCTAATTGTTCTAGAATGCAGCAGGTCTCAGAAGTGGAGAAAATGCAGACACAAGAACACTGAGCAGAGTCTGACAATGCATCTTGCATTAAAAATATATAGTGATCAATTCAGTTGAAGTTGTTAATTCATTATACACAACTATTTCTAATTCAAATCATTAACATCTAATTTACATATTTAATAAATGTATGGTTTTTTTTTTTTTTAGCATCCACTGAAGTGCCTTGTTCTCATGGAGGTAAATTGGTGTTTTTAATTTTCTTTTTGACTACTAAAGAACAAACTACTAACACCATGGGAGGGAACAGAAAAGAGATCATGCTGTCAGCTACCAGTACTACTGTACAGCAAGCATTACAGTGTACTTGCACTTCTGGACATAGGGATGCGTTCCATATGCAACACAGGTTTCAAAACCTATGCATTCCAACACCCACTTCAGGAAAGAAAAAAGGAAACCAACCAAAAAAACACCCAAACCACACCACCCACCCAGCTCACTACAACAAAACGCTACAGCTGCCTGCTGGGCCAGTCATTTTGTACAGCACTTTCAAGAATGATGCTGTTTTCAAAACACCCTGGTGAAGAGCAAAGTAAACCAAAACCAAAGGGAAGGGAGGACACTGAGACAAGAGCTTTCCT